TTTAAGGTCATTTATTAGTGCAGAGCCCGTGCGATGCACGGGGTACACAATTTTCTAGTATGTGTAATAAAAATACATACCGTATGCACGAGACATAAGCACTAAATGAGTCATTTTCACAGAGCTTGCCCGTTAAGTAGCTCCTGAACACGGGTGCACAATTTGTAGTACGTACCATAAAATCAGAACAGATTTTCATACAATTAGATAATAAATTAGATAATAAATAAAGCTTTTTTATTTTAGTAAAGATTTTACGTACTTTGTTTTTTTACTTATCGGATGGTATGAGACTTTTTTTGTTAAATCGATTTTATGGAATATAATACAAATACAATTAGAGGATTGAACAAAATCAGAACAGATTTTCATACAATTAGATAATAAAAAGGATAAAGAAGGAAAAGAAGAAATTAGATAAGGAATTTGGAATCTGACTTTTTTTTTTTATAGATAGACTTTACGTACAAATTTTGATTTAACTGATTTGACAAAACGATGTTAATATGGAATAAGATAAATAAATAAAGTCTTTTTACTTTAGTAAAGATTTTACGCCTTTTTTTATGGTTTTTTGATTTGTCAGATGTTATGGGATTTTTTTCTTAAACTGATTTTATGGGATATAAGACAAATAAATAAAATAATTAAATAAAATTCTGGATAGAAATAGCAATGCATTAATTACGTTGACTTTTCAATCTACTAAATTTGGTAAATAGGATATCTTATATAATAAGTATAGATACAAATAAATAACATGCCAAAATTTTAAAAAATAATTAATGTGTTTTAATTTATTATCTAGCCATCAGTAATATCATTTAATGATGTGATCATTATCTCTTAAATGATAAATAAAATATTAATTTTAAAAAAATATTTATTTTTTATATACTCAAATAAAAATTAAAAAATAATATCGACAAATATGAATTATAATATATATCAGTAAAATCATTGCAGAAGTCAATAAAATTATTTAAGGAAAGAATCTTTTTTATCATATTTGAATAGGAAATGTATATATACAAGCAATTAATGCATATAGTAAAAAAATTCTAAATAAAGTATGCATTAAATGTGAGTTGACTTTTCTTACTACTATTTTTGGTAAATAAGATGACCTTTAATATAAGTATAGATATGAATTTACAAGTACATTAAGTTCAAGAATAAGTGTAAAATATATTACCTTAAATGTGTCGCCGATATTAATAACAAGCGCATCCGTGCGAGGTTTGAGAGCTTGCCATTTTCCGTCGACAAAGATTTGGAGACCTCCGACTTGATCTTGCAGCAAAATGGTGAGCGAGTTGGGATCACAATGTGGTCCGGTGCCGAGAGTGAGTCCAGCTTCTATGCACGGTGGATAGTAGTTTGCCCTCACTATCGAGCTCCCGTCTTTGAAAAACTCCCGATAATGCCCTCGCTCAACTCCTAAGCTAATGGCCAAGAGCTCCATGATTGCGAGGGAAAGTTTTTCCATTGCTTTACAATATTTCTCATAAATCAACCTATAACAACATATACACAAGAAAATCATTCACTACACGGGGAAAAAAGGGTGTTGTCCCACGCAGGTAAGCACACCATAAGAGGATGAACTTATGTGCATGGTTTCATCCAAATATCAATTGGTAATAGAAAGAGTAACCTAGTAGGCTTATAAAATAGACTCATTTACCCAATAAAATCAATGTGGGACAACTAACAAGTGATCACTCTGTACGTAGTTGATGATCATTAGTAACGAAAGAGAGGAAAAAAAAAAAATCTCACCCCGCTTCTTCAAAATCTTGTCCAAGGACAGACTTGATATGGTGAGCCACATCCTCATCACGGGAGTCGTATTTGTAGGTGAATGAGAACATCTCCTTCCATGTGAGTTTGGAGGAAAACCTGTCGGCATGGCCAATTGAGTAGCCACAAAGGTCTCCCGGTTTTCTCTCCACAGCAAGCTTCCGGTCTATGGAAAGGTTGAAAAAGTGGTCCATGTGGTTTTGTGCCGCCTGGGTGAGGCTTGGGTCCACGCCATGGTTGATCACTTGAAAGAAGCCGCGAGTCAAGCAAGCAGCCCTAATTTGGGCGGCAGCTAAGGCCGTGGCCTCCTGGTCGCCGTTTAAAAACCCAGAAAGGTCGAGTGGCGGGTCCTCGAGTTCATGGACTTGGGTTGAGTGGGCTAACTCCTCATCGGGCCAGATAAACTGTGGGGGCAACTTGTTGGGTTGTGGGTTTTGGAGGGAAGAGAGAATGAGGGTACTGGAGGCTCCTGACTCCATTAGTATTTAATCAACTTAATAATATATATGGTTTGGAAAATATTGGTGGAGATTGTGGAGATTGGCTGGGGTTTATATGGAAAAAAATTACAAGGTTT